GTAAATTTGCCAGTTAATGCTGTTAGAAAATGGATGGTTCAAGAAGGGCAGGAATTAGAGATCAGTATTAGGTGCAGATAAGCTCCTTTTCCTCCGCAGTGGCGGCTGTTTAACATTCATGGGAAAATCATCATCAAACAGCGTTATCACAGCTCTGTTGATGGCTGAGGAACTTCATCACTATGATAATTTTTTTTTTATAGCTGTGAGCCAAAAAGCTCCCTTTTATTTCTGCTGTCTATAACTGCGATAGAAGCTTGTTTGTATGGGTAGGGCATTGCAAACTCTTAGCTCTTCAGCCAGGTTTGATTTCTTGCCACCATCGCTCCCCCACTCAACCCCTTGTGTACGTTGCACTAAACAGTAATGCTGATTAAAAAAAAAAAAAAGAGTGCTCAAACAATCCTTCAAAGAATAACTGATATTTTTATGATCAGTAATTCAAAGTTGGACAAGTGATGCCATTCTGAAACGTAAATGTCATCCATTTTGTGGGGAGTAAAGGGTAGAGACTAGAAAGCAAGCACCCAGGGATGGAGGGAATGTCTAATGTCATGTTAACTTGACCAGGAGGTGGTTTAAGTGTCACAACATGGCTAAGATATACTTTATTTTGCCTGTTACACCTTTTTATCCCCTCCAACCCAAGAGCAGAACTGTACCTTTCTATGTTTTCTTGAATTTCTTTTAACATAAAGATATGGTGGTTCATCTGCAGGTATTTTGGACGTGCAATGTCCAATTTTAAACTCATCAAATTTGCTAAGGACTCAGCTCTAGATGACATTTCTACCCCATGCTCAGCCATCTTCGAGAGTATCTGAGATGAGGATCATGGTTGTCATACTTGGGAGTAGGGAAGGTGCACAGTTCCAGACTGTCTGTGTTCTTCCTAGGGAGATAAGGTGCTATTCAAGGAAATTTTTTAATTTATTAAGGTTCTCAGCTTATGCTTCTTTGCAGCTTTGACCTCATTTTTTGTAGTTTATCTGCTCTAAATGACATTTCTCATTTCGAATATAGCTGGAAAACATTGTGCTAAACAGCAATTTTGTAGCCTCCGCAGCACCACCTGATAATTTTGATATTTTCACTTTGAATTCAGTATTGATTTGATTACTTAGGTAATTTACTTTTGACACAAGCTCATTCCTTGTCTTTTCCTGAGCAGGGACTTCCAATCATGCCATGTTGTGCTGAATTATGTTTGGAGTTTAGAGATAAGGACTTTTGTCTACTCGAGACTCAGCTTAGGCCACCAAACTCATTTCCCACAGGAGGAGGGTTTGAATCCAGTCAGGAACCTAAAGGTGAAAGGCTAGTGCTTTATAATTTAAATATTACCATATAAACATAAGTTTAAAGCAGATATTGTGTGGTAGGGGGAATACTAGAGTTATTTTGAATGAAGTTCCAAGGAACTCTTGCCTAAAGGAGAAAGGGGCCCGAGAGATCCCCAAAGCTGCTGACTTCCAGCTGTGTCCAGGGTGACCCCTGGATTCTGGAGCAGGGTGCCAGTGACTGTCATCCCTGGGAATGGTGCCAGGAGAGCCTTCCTGGGCTGCTGCCCTGGCTCTCCCCACCACTGCTGCCAGGCTGCTGCTGGAGCAGGAGTTGGGGAAGGCCCCCTGACAAAGTCAGCCTTCCTTTGCTGAGCTTCACAAACGAGGGGAGCTCTCAGCCCCGGCCAGAACGGGCTGGTGGTCCCATGAATATTGTACTCTTTCATGAGATCATTGTCATCAATGATTCAATCATTCCTCTTGACAAAACGAGGATGTGATGAAATAAAAAGGTGTTCTAGTCCAGATTGCTGGTAGGGTGAGGCACTAACAACTGCTGTGGGCATCCAGCTGAGGCAACTGTCCTCTTCCTGTGTAACAGCCTCATAGCCTGGAGGGGGCTGAAATTTTCTTCAGACATAAAGTTTGTTTCTCCTCCCAAGTTTCTGAAAGGAATAGTCACAGTACAACCAAAAGATTTTTTTAGGGAACCATCACAGGCTTTGGAAAAGGTGAAGGGCTTGTGGTGTTTGGATTTGAGGGGTTGGTTTGCTTCAGCAGAATAGTAATAATTATTATGGAAACATTATAAGTACCAAACAAGATCTGTTTTCGAGCTGTTCTGCCACCATTACATACTTCTCCTCCTTATTCCTTGCTTTTCTAAGCAGGTAATCCCTTCTAGTTTTACCACTAAGTGCTGTACCAGAGTTATTTTTTAATCTTTGTATTACTGAACTAGACGAGGTTTTGTCTTGCAGTAGCTGTACAATTTCCTTTCTGTATTCAAAGGGAGGAAGCTTGTGTTCACCATATCATTGACCTTAAGACACTGTAATACTGCTAAAAAGACGTCTTCCAGCTTTTTCCAGACTCTGGGAAGCCTGTGAAATGCACAGACATATTGGGGTGTTTCAGCATTGCTTCAGGTTGGTTTCGTGACCCATTTAAATGTCCTGGGTAATATTCCCTTTTTCCTAGGACACCACAGTTTCTTGTATGGTTCATTTTAAAATAACTTGACTACAAAAAAAAAAAAAAAGCCTTGGGTTCACAAGAACAAAAGACAATGATTGTAATTTGTCTCTGCCCTTTAGCAAAGCAATCAGCAATTTTCTAGTATTTTACAGTCATCCATCTAGCTATCTGTTCATCTTCTAATACCCTTACTTTTTCTTGGAAATATTCAAATTTATTAACCTTTTAGTAACTGGTAACCATTAAAATTCTGTCTTATATTAACAAAGAGGGAACTTGTCCCTGTAAATCTTCGTGTGCTGATTTATAGGTTTACTCCCTTTTCCTCAGATGAAAGTTGGCCACTTGCTGCCATGGGCAGCTCCTGCCTGTGCTGCTTTGCCATCCCCCTTGGCAGGCTGGCAGTGTCACCTGGTTGGCAGCTAATCCTGAGGGCACTGCAGAGCTGTTGGTCTCCAGCACAGCTGGCTCTCTGAAGACCCTTAAGGAGGGTCTCTTACAGCAGTGCAAGGAGGCACAGGGCAATCCGTGGAGTCTACTGGAATGTGGGAAAGATGGGAGGATCTGTGGTTCTGGGAAGGCTAAGGGCTGAGATAGGCAGTGTGTGGCTAATCATGTACTGGTTTTGTCTTGATTACTTAGAGAGTTTTTTCTCAAGGAGTAACAGAGTGCATATTTATCACTCTTCATAGAAATGGACTCTGGATATGGTTGGTAAGCAAGACATTTTTGAAAATTACAGTTCATCACTCTATATTTTCTGAAGTATCACTCAAAGATATCTGATCAAACTCTGCATGACCTAACTGGGGTACTGACAGCAGCACACCTACATCAGCATGGTGAGGGGCCCTGGGCAAGCTCAGGATTGCATTGTTGTGCAGACATCACCAACAGTCTCACACTTGATGGCTGGGAAAATCTGGCACTGAGGATTTGAAAAGGAAGGTGCTTTGCAGCCCAGACATTTGTTCCATACATGCTACAAACCCATTGACCACTCTTGGCTGTCTTGAGAATCTGAAGTGTGGATTCAAAAGTGCACCAGACTGTATCATAAAGAATGATTTAAATAAGACTGGACTCTGAGTTGTATAAACTCTAAACTTGGGCACAGATCAGATGGTTGTAGAGGGCAGAACCACAGGAAGTTGTGGTTGAATGGTTACTGTGAACATGAACCAGTCTTGGATGGAAACAGTAGAACTGTTGTGAGTAAATTCTAAGTATTTACCACAAATGGCAACAACTCATCTGAGTCCTGGAAAGGTGAAATTATTCAAATTATGTCCAAGTTTGACCTTAAGTATTTTATTGATTTTTTTTTTATTCCCGGTCCAAGGATTCTTCCCAGATAGTTTTCTTGGCTGAAATTTCTAGGACTTAGACTCATCTGAGCTGACATTGCCCAGTAATGGTATTTAGGGATTCTGCAGTGTCACGCACTGTGAGACTCTTCTTTGCTCCAGTCCTTTTCCAGGTGTAAACTCACCATTTTCCAGGCATGATTCTTTATCAGAGGTGTTTACATTTACTGATCTCTGGGGCTAAAATCCTTGCTGCAACCTGTGGACTTGTGTGTGTTTGTTCATGCCTCATTTACACACTAGAGCTGGAAAGATGCAAACAGGTAACACCCAGCACTGCTGAGCTTTGTGCTCAAATACCTCTGGCTTTTCTCAGCCCCTGAGTTCTGCAGGGGCAGGGACCGTATGTCATCTTGTCTCAGTGGCTTCTGTATGTACTGGGATAACCAGAAACTAAGCAACTTTTGGACATTTATCTGTAACCTTTAATAATTTGCTATGCATATCCACTCATTCCTTTGTTATATTATCAATATTCTGCAGTGCCACTGGTTTTAATAAGAAGCCTTTTCACTGGTTTTCTTTGTTCTAGTCATCTAATCTCCTAATGGAAGTTTCTAATTAAATTCCTAGAGCCATTTTCTAACTGTGTTTTGAATAACAAAATCTTGCAAATGCTCAAAGTGTCTCTCTCCCCCTGGCTTGGATGCCCTGCCTTCCAAAGCTGTAGAGGAGTGATGCAGGTCACTGTGGGGAAGAGTTGCTGAGAACCTTTCTCAGCTGAGTGAGAGGGATGTAAATGGCATGTTTCCTATACAGGAAATAATGCAGCAGGTCTAAGAAAAGTCTTCCAGGGTCTCATCCATAGTTTTAATGAATTTTGGGATGATGCAGAAGAAACACGATGTATTCATGGAGCAAGCAGCACTTCCCTGGTGAACCTGGTGCTCCATAGAAACTGAGAAACCAGGGTCACCAATGAAATTTATTCCTTCTCTATCCAAACTCCTCTCATTTGGGTTTGAACTTTACCCACTGGGTGCAGGTAAGAGTTTAATTACTGTCATTCCCATCTCATCAGAATTCTTCAGCTACTTTTGCAGCAGAAAGGAGAAAAGTGGAAAGAAAAAGAAATGTCAGGATCAGCTCAGAAATGTGGTGATTATGATAACTGTGAAAGACTCTGTCTAACTGATCCTTTTATTAATCACAGGAAATACTGCAGCTGGCACGTGCCACCACGTGCAGACGGATCAGCAGCAGCACACGGAGACACTGAGCTGGCAAAAAGCATTTCCTTGGTGTCCACACCTGCAGAGATCTGTGCACACAGACCTGGCCACCCTCTGCTGTGCAGCTGAATGCTCCTTCACTGCAGCCTTGCTGTGAAAGCCTCAGCCAAAGCTGCCCCTTTCTCCCCTTGCTCTGAAGCACCATTACCTTCCTCCTCCTCCTCCTGCACATCTGCACAGGATATTTTTTTGGCCCGAATAAGATGAGCACAGGTGGTAACATAAGGCACATTGCATCTAGATTTGACACCTGGTGCACATAGGGCTTACAAGTTTTAATCAGTTTTATGCAAGTTTTTGGCACTTTGGTTTTCTATTTTTTTTTAATTTTTTTTTTTTTAAAACCAGTTCAATAAGTGGGCAAAAAGCAGCAGCAGATTTACTTAGAGGGGGTTCAAATTTGTCTTCAAAGGGTCTGTGTTTCAGAAGCGTTTATTTCTTTTAACAGAATTATATATACATAAATAAAAATATTTGTAAATTTTACAGATGGATAAATTCAGCTTTTTAAATAATCTAATACCCAAGCTGGCTATGGCCAGTCTTATCTGACAGTCACAAAGCCACATGGATTCCATACAGAGTTTAGGGGTGACATAGGTTTGATTCAAAACACTTCTGCCTTTCCCCAGCCTGTGGGGTGACCCAGTGGGTGCAGTTATCCAGAGTGTAGGCAGCAGGAACTCATGTCTTGGTGTCTCATATCATGTACAGACTGGTTTGAGATTTGCTACTCCTGGTGCTTTCTTGCAAGCATAGAACAATTTTTGTGCTGAAATTAAATCTGATGTAAAAGGAGGAAAAGCCTTTGAAATTCACTCTAGAATGGGTACTGAGAAATGTCCACATTTCTGCTTCCTCAACACTCATCACAGAGACTTCTGTCCAGCACAGCACCCTCATCTATGCTTTTAAGATTTTTATTTAATAGCACAGTCAACTCTTTAACAGTGAGTTTTGTGAGCTATTAGGAAAATCAATCAGAGGAAAACAATTTGGAAAAATCTGTTAATCTAATGATCTTTTTAGTTCCATTTAGCTCCATTCATAGTACCCTTCACCATCACCTGAAAAAAACCTTTCTGTTTAATCTAAACAGATTTTCTGAACTTGGAAATTTTATTCCCATTCCAGGAGAAAACTTTGCAAATGTGATGTTTTTTTGAAAGTGAAAACAGACGGAAAAGCTTTCTGTTTTCCAGCATGTTTGTGACTTCCCTTACCTTTTTCCCCAAATAAAAAGACTGGTTATCTCCATGGAGGAGACTCTCCATACAGAAAACCCAATGCCTTATTGGAGATGTAGATTTTAGGACAGACAGTACATTGCCTGTAAACTTGCAGCTCAGATGACAGATGGAAACCAGATAAAGTGAGTGTGCTGATCACTGCAGAGAGATTAGACTCTCTAATTTGCATCTTGTCTTCCAATAACATTTGCTCTATTTTGCCTCCACATCTACCTGAGCTTTAAACACACGCATTTGAGGCCTGAACTTACTTAAACTTTATTTTTCCAAGTGGATTATTTCTGTTTAGTTCTGGACTTTAGTTCTACATTTAACAAAATGCAAACACCTCAGAGAATGTGTATCAGCATTGCTGGTCCCTCAAAATTCACCACAGAGGCTTCTGTCAGGCCCAGCACTCCACCAGCTTTTTTTAACTTTTTGTGCTTAACAATCTCAAGTGTCTCAAGTATCTCTTTGAGAACTCCACTCCAAACCATGTCTGAGAAATATCTCCTCTTCCCCAAAGTGCTGGGGTATTTTCTAGCTGGATAAGCCTTCTCCCCTTGAGAGACAGACAGGATGGAGCTCAGGGTCCTTCTTAAGGGCCACACGGCCCAGGCACTGCAGGGTAGGTTGACATTAGCTAGCCTGCACAAATATTTGCTTGCATCTTTGCCATTTTCAAATTCTGTCTCCCTTGTTTGCTCTTCTTTGTCCCTGCCTATCATGTTTCTTTCCTGGCTGTTGCTATTAGTATGTAATCTTTCTGTTCTGTGTCCTAAACTAAAGCACATTTGTCGGTCATTATCTGAAAGACTCTCTGTTAATAGGCATAAATAACATTGTTAGTGCCTCACACATCACTCCAGCAGCAGTGTTGTTCATGTGAGGTGCCCAGCATGCCACAGAACACGTTCTGTCTGCAGCCAAAGGCTTTTGCTGCTGGGCATAGCAAGGCCAGCGTGCAGCTGAGCTCAGCTTAAAAACTTCATTTCATTGGTTCTGTATTTAAAGGTTTAGAGGAGCAGAAGGGAGGATGTGGAAGGAGGGGCAGCAGGGAAAAGCTGGCTTTCCTTACTTTCCCATTGTTTTCACTGGAGTATTGTGAAATTCCAGTGGGTAGGAGATGCTCTTGTCTTTTACCCTGTCTAAGGGCAGTGGGTGTTTGTGGCATTGTACCTGTCCACAGGTTACGGCTTGAAACGCCTGAAAACTGTTTGGGGTGGAAGAAGCAGCACATGCTCTTTAAACAGGTTTCTGTGCATTCAGATGAGATTGTGTCAAGGAGTTTGTATATTTTCATGTTCATCTTCAAAAGAAAAGGTTTAATTTTCAACAGTTTTGCTGCTCGTGAGCCGAAGACATTTGCCACCAGTGGGACCAAGACCTTACCCCTCTTAGGAGAACACCAGAGAAAACTGGTTTCAACTAATTGATCACAGAATCATCCAAGGTGAAGGAGACTTTCAAGATCATGTAGTCCAACTGTATGTACCACCATCATAATCACCCTGAACCATATCCCTCAAAATCTTACAATCTTGCCGTGGGTCTTAGGATCCATTTCTATCCACATCTTTAAAGGAAGGTGAAAAGATCCTCATGAACAATTGCTCAGGGAGGAAGTAGTTTTACCACCCTTGCCTTGGGGTTCTGGATAGTCCAGTGTATTCATCTGCTGAGCCATTGAGTACTTTCCCATACACTTTGGGAAAAATTTGGATGCTCATGCAAGCTCTCTGGCACCACACACAGCTCAAACCTGGAGCCTTTTTTTTCAGTAGCAATTAATAAAAATCATGATTTAAAAATTGAAATGGTAATGAGCTTTTAGCGTGATAAAAAGAGCTTGTACAGACAAGAAAAAGTATTTGTGGGTCTCCAACTCACATTACTTCCCAAATACAAAAGCAGATATTAGTCTTGGCTGGAATGAGCCATATTGACTTGTTTCATGTTGCACAAAAATGGTAAAGCACCCATAACCCTCATGTCACACAGAAAGATGATGCTCTCACGTCTCCAACCTCATATTGAAGTGTTCTTCTTATCCACAGCTTTGTTCATTTTGGGCTGATGAATCAGTATACTCATTTTGGCTTGATTATTTTTTCCTTTGTTTGCACATGCTTATTATCTTTCCATAGACTCATAGAATGGTTTTGGTTGGAGGAGATTTTAAAGAGCATCTAGTTCCAACCCCCTGTCATAGGCAGGGACATCTTCCACGAGAAGGTGGATGGTACATTTTAAAATTCACCGGCACAGAGTGATGTACAGTCAATGGTTTAGGAGTCAAAGAAACAGCTAAAGCAGTTTAAATCTATAGAAAATACCGTCTTTGTTATGTGACACAAATTGTACCTTGAGCAATTTAGGTGTTATTCAACACAATTGCTCTAAATTAAAAATAAGTACAAGTATATTATCTTGATCTTTTCCCCTCTCAATGAGTGCTAACAAGAGTAATACCATTTTGAGGAGAGAATGAAACTCATTTTTGATGAGTAGCTCCGTTGCTTTTTTTGATGATTGTGTGATATTTTGCAAGTCTTACAAGTATCCAAGTATAACAAAGACACCTAAGAACATACAAGAGTTTGGAGGCTTTTAAACTTGACCTGATAAGCAATTCATGAATATTGTAGCTAGATTATGCTTCTCACTGTTAACTGAATTGATGTGTTGAATAGATGTCCAGCTCTTTGCATCTGAATTGAAAGTATATTTCATTTGTGGGGGGAAAAGGAAGAAAGCATCATTCAGAAGAAGAGACTTTGGTTTTGAAATAATTTTCTTTCTTTTAACATATACAGAACACTCATCTATTTGAAGTCTGGCTCGCAAATATAACAGGTTTTATCTCAGAGGCATGAAAAAACATGGTAACTTAAAAAAAAAACACAGAAAAAAACCATAAAAGCTGAACAAGCAAAACAAAATATATTTTAAACTGTTTCCAAGTGTTTTGAGTTGTTTAGGCACAGGCAGTACCTACATTTAGGGTCTAATGCAGAGTCAGGGATATTTACAGTACATCTTTTCTTTTTCTCTGATTTTGTTTTATGAGCATAATTTGAACCTACCTCCTACCTCATTAAAGAAACATATATTCTCACAAACATTCCTTTTGCATTTCATGGCTGTCACTCTTATCACTCTTCATATTTGTTGGCTCACTCCTCTATTGACTTCTTAAAAAGTTGGAAAAGTTTGAAAAATAGAAAGTCTTTCTCTCACCAAACAACTTCAAGAAACTCAGTGGGAGTTTTCAAAGGTGTTGGTATAAGGAAAACACCCAATTTGCTTTATATGTCTAAGGGATTTGTGAGATTAATTTCCTTATTCAGCTGTGAAAATCCTGCCTTGAAGACTCAATCTCACAGTTCAGTGTGAGGAAGAGGAAGGTCACAGGTTGCCACGTCCAGGACACAGATGGTACCTGTGTCATCACAGTCAAGTACCTCGGGATGGCTGTTGGAGCAGATCTTGCAGGATCACCCTGTTCCTGAACATATTGAGAAAAATGCTTAGCAGGCAGCAGAGGGATTTAACAGCAAAGCAGGTGTTTTGTTCCTAAACCCTTGACTGGGGCTGATCACCCAATGAATGTGGCACTTTATCCTCCCTATCTAATGCAGTTGTGGATGTGCTTATAAATATCTATTTTTTTAATGTATTGGACGTGGCTCTCTTGCCAACTGATACATGCAAGCTACCTCTGTAACTTGAGTTATATATAGATTTTTTGATCTACCTAATGAGTAAAAAAAGTGACCCTTAGAAGGAGACCTGTACTGCAAACCTGCCTCTGAGAAGCTACTTGTGCGAATAAGGTTTTCAGAAAGAGAAGGGAGGGATAAAAACTAACTCTTCCAAAAGGGTTTACAAAAGAGAACAGTGAACCATATTATCTAACAGTGCTCTGCCTTTTCACTCGGGGAGACAGACGTTAAGGTGCATTAGTCCTATCATTTGTATGTCTGTAAATATCAATAAAGTATGTTATTTGGCATTCACATTTACACAATGAAGGAGGAGGACTATCCTTTTCAGGAAATTTCACAGAGCCATTCACAAACAAAAGCGCAGTAATTTAATCTTTCAAAAGCTCAATAATGCTA